GTCGTGCCATGATTGTATACTGTAAACAGTGGAATATAATGCCAGTGCAATGCAAATATTTCAAAATGATAAAAACAAAACAAATGTGATTTTCATTCTATGGCAATGACACGGATAAACTAATGAGCCGAATCTGTGTCTGTTATCACATAATATTTGACTGTGATTGATAAAAATAATTCAAAATATCTTAAATAGATTTAGAAATCAATGATGGATACGATGCCTGAAGATGTCAGATCATGTTAGAGCATGATTGGAAGAGACTGTAATATGTTAAGGAAATCTGAACAATAAATATGAGGAGGAATATAATGCTACACATGATATATCTACAGGCCTTGACCCTACTAGAAATCCTACAGGAAGGAACTAACAGATACAAATAAATTACTAATGTTAAGTCATTTGGACAGGTATCAGCTCTCAGAAATTCAATACACAATAATGTATTCTTGGCTAAATGCAAAAATGGCAGTGTTCAATGAAACATGAGTACTTAATTAATCTTCATCATTCGTAGAAGAGAAGAAATATTCTAATCTGATATGATTAAAATACTCATCTGTTTTGGACTGAAGTAGGCCTAATTGTTCTTGGACCTAGAAAGCAACAAGTACAACTGAGTGAATAGCAAGCAAGTAATTCCATTCTAATTCTGATACTATGCAGTCAATCTTCTGCAATTGAAACAAGGGCAGATTAGTTGGAAAATTAAACTGTCTTGTGTTTTTGTTGCTTTACATCATCCTTTGCAATTTGGAAGGAGGGGAAAAGGGAGGGGGAAGAAAAAAATGAAAACAAAACAGACAACACAAAACCAGATAGAAAAACATACACAAAACTCTCAAAAAATGAGCTACATGTAGCTTCACCTTTGTAAACTTGACAACATGTTTACACTTTAAAAATGAGGTACAGTTGGTATGTAGCTTCACATATATTTTGTACAATTTTTGCGCTAAATTGTATTTGTGGGTATGCAGTTGGCCTTCACCAGACAGCTGACAACAAAAAGGACCTCAGAGAAACCACAATCCAGTGTCTTGATACATAGCGCTTTCTGTCATCAGCAGGGGTCATAAGGTAGACTGTACAGTGTGTCTGCAGCAACCATTGGTTCTATCCAGATCAGCTGATCAAGACAAATTCACAATTTACCACAAGGCGACCGTCAGACCCAGTCCCTTAGCAACAGCATCATCACAAATACGTATATACACCTGGTTGTCATAAGAGACACAACTACAGTGCCTGGCTTAGAGTCCAGACAACCTAGCATTTACATAGTTCACAACCCAAACAAAATCAAATAATCAGCTGCTTGGGCGGGTGCTCACTGGCTACAGTTTTCTGGCCCCTGGATGGACATAGCCACATGAGTCATCAATCTACTCCATATCAGGCAGGACGGTAGGAAGGAAGACATTTGTATAAATAATCATTTAATACTAAGTACATGTACATGTGTATAATAATATGCTCTTATTAAAACCAATTGCCTGTTAGATATCTACTTTCCAAACACTATGCAAGCTTCATTAACAAATGTAAACAACAACTTAATTTGAATGGACAGAAAAATAGACCAATCAAGCACAGTATTTCTATTAAACCCAGTCAGATCACACCTCCTCATCATAAAACAAAGACATAGATTCAAATCATGAGCATGCACACACATACATGTATAGCCTCTAAACATTCACTTTAGGAGACATGTAACGCATGGTAGATATACATTGTAAATTGGTGTTGTCAAAGAAAATTACCTCTTCAAAATTAATGTGCTTGATCAAAATTTCCAAAATTGATTAACAGATAATAAACATGCTTTAAATTAATGCATTCCTAACAATAAAGACTCTTTTATGGAAACAGAACAGAAAATTCACTGATGCTATAGATGGCACTTTAAAACTATAAATAGGCTTCATCAAAGGATTAGACATGAATGTGTCCTTCTCAAACTTCACACAGGAAAAACTTTTAAAGTCCCCAGCGACGACAAATGGCCATTTGATTTTATCACACCTTTCTTGGTTGGTTCAGACCAACCAACTCATGTGGCACAAACATATCAGCTTAAGCAGTATGTCTGTCAAGAATCATAAAATGAACCACTGGTGATCTGTGCCATATAAGATGGTTTTAAGAATTAAATCCAACATTACCGTATCCCCCTTCACAAAAATACAAATAAAAGTGACAGCATCCATTACTTGTTTAGTATCTCTGGCCTAAGGCAGGCATAGTTTTCACTTTTTGTCAATTAAACTGAGAGAAAATCCATTCCAACTGACAAGGTTGTGCAGTGTCTGAACACTTGGTAATGGATCATCTAACATTAGTCCTTTTTCTATGTTGAAGTGAACATTTACTGCACTGAAGTTTCACTCACACTAGTCTGATGTAGGGTCCCCACATCTAAAGCAGCACCATTCAAAGACTTTAAGGAAAACTTGGAGAAGTAATTTCACAACTCATCCTTGGAAGTCTTGGAGCCTAACATCATGTTTCTTTCCATTTACAATCTTATCTTTTCCAAGCCATATTAGTCTCTCAAGCAAAAAAGGTTCTCCTCTTGCAAAATAAGCCACACGGTATCACTTGGGCAGATTTTTTTAACTTCAGATCTAAACTCATCAGCAAACTCCAACCCTCTCAATTTTTCAATGTCTGCGAACTCACAGATGAGGCACTCACTGGTACATATGGAACTATCATTGTCATATGATATAAAAACTTGCATGCCCGAGAAATTGAGTTTAAAAACAAGTACTGCAGTAAAAGAAATGATCATAGTCAAATGATTATTTTTGTTCATATATATTTTAATTTAAAAAACTTTCAAAGGTGTTCCAGACCTTAATTGTTCAGTAAGGATAAACCTCCTCCTGGAACTTGCTGTCAAGACTTTGTTAGCTACATTACTCAACTCTACTTTGTTGACTAAAAAAAAATTTTTTTTTATAAAATCCCAGTTTGTGGAGTGAAATGCATTGCCAATCTAGTTGGAAAACCAACAACGATTCTCTCCATAACGTAATTTTATAAAACAAAAATTAAAACAATGCAAACAAAACTTTTTTACAATTAACGTTTTCTTCGAACGACAAACACACGGCGCTGCGACCAAAAAAAAATGAAGGCCGGCATGTCCGGTGCGCCACGAAATGCGGCAAACCTGAACAGCCGCGAGATACAGTATATCGCTATTTCAGTAGAAATATCAATGAACAAATTAAATCCCTGCCACCCCTCGTTACATTGCCCCACACACTTCACAAATCACACCACCACACACACGTACGCACACTTGTTTGAATAGACTACATGCACATACACCTGGATAGATAGGCCTGATACATTCAATATTATACTTACTTTCCAATGCGGAGACCAAGCGATGTTGTCATCCGCCCACGCAGTTTCTCCTGTCAAACAGCACGTAAGATGGCGCACACAGACCGTCCAAACTTCAGTACAGCAACAAAGTTTGTGTTTTATTTTTTACGACAGTGCGGTCGAAAGCCAGACAAAAACTGCCGATTCGCGCAAAAACCGATCCAACCTCGCTTGAATTCCTATGCGAGCAATGTTCGAAGTAAAATACACAGGAACGAAAATTTTGGTTGACTCCAGCTCGGTACGAAGAGAAAAAGACGCATTGCTTTAAACCAGAACAGCAGACAGAGCTGGGTTCTCCACCTGTCGTTCACCAACTACTCCTCTCTGCAACTAATTTCACGCGGAAAAAAGTTCGGGGTTCTTTGTTTGGGACATGGGCCGCAGCTTTCGGCAACAACATAAAAAATCCTGAGATGATGTCAACCCTTGGCCATACATGGGAGCATCATAGCTAAATATGGGTCCACGTTCAGATGTTGTACAAAGGCAACACAGCCAATAGAACGGTGACCAATCAAAATAGTGAATATGTAAGCAGTTGAAACATGTCAGGACACGATTTTTTTAGTCCTTTTTTTGGCAACGGGCCCAACATCAGTGGCACGCGAAATCCTGGCTATGCGCATGTACAGCACAACACACACTGTCGTGGCACGCGAACCATCAAGCTTTGCTTTTATCAATAATGGTGGCGCTATTCACAACTTGTGTTTATATTATCTCACTGCTCTTGAAAATCATGCCTCAATCATTTGTCTTTGCATCTTCACGATCCAGTGGCGAAGTGTGTCACCATCACTGCTCACACAGCGTCATGGACACATCACGACTTTCTCAAATTTTGTCATCACTGATAAAGCATGAGAAATCACTCAAAAATGGGTTGTGGTATTCACTAATAAACATATCCAGAAAGTTCTTGCTGTGATGTGGCATGCATAATACATACACGCGTGGGTCGCGTCGTTTGTAATACAAATACGGAGCCACATTACAAATACTTTTACTTTTTACTTTTCTGTACATGTTTTAGTCTAGCCTTTAATTAATGAAAGCAAAATCAGAAAAATGTTATGTCAGATACAATTGGTATGTGGATCTGTTTGAAATTGTGTAAAAGTGATCGACTGATAAAGTAAAAAGACAAGAAATCTTAAATACCCAAAGCACTAGTGACAAAAGTATGCAGCTCGCAAAATATAACTTTATTTCCTGTTTCATTAACGTCAGTCCTGAATTTTCCCGTTACGATACTTTTTGCATAGATCCTAGGCGCTGGGCTAGAAATCATTTCCATCCGACCTCCAATATTTCCATATGCTACTCAAACATATACTGGCTAAAACACGCTTTAAACCACATACGGAGCACATTATTTCAACTTTTTTCTACTGAAAATTTTCCATTTTAAAGTATACAATGTAACGGAAATGAACATATTTTGCCACCGACGCCCTGATTGTCCTGTGTTTACAAACAAAGTTGACCTCTGAGTGCCCTTTTTATTTTGATGTAACGCGTAGTTCATGTCACTGGTAATTTTTGAGGTATCCCTAAATTCATTCAGTTTCACAGTTAATCCTTCCACGTTTACTCTTTTATTGACTCCGTTAGTTTTTACACCGATTTACTAATTGTCTCATTGGGATTAAGAGGCCAAAGGATTAGTTAAGATGTCAATTTGATTTTGAAAACAAGTCATAAAATAGTCGTCTGGGAAAGGGAACAGAAAAAAATGGCGGTCGCGGGGAGTGCTTTGAAACGAGAACGATTCTCTGAAAGTGCTTTCGGAATTCCTTTGAAGTAAGTGATTTTTATAAAGCTGAATTCACTTTTACAAAGTCTACCAGGAAAAACAGATATTTGTGTCGTTTTAGAAAGATTCAGTTGGCCCTGAAATGCTGTGAAATGCTGTGGTTTTCTGTGCTACCGTTAGTGTTATTCGTCACCCTATACCGTACGGCTAGGCCCTGGTGGTCAGGCTTAGCTACCCGTTGGTTAGCATGTTGCCGCTGCTCCTCTGACACCATGGTGCGCAACAATGTTCAGTTTCACGGTGCAACCTTATTTTAAGCTAGAATTGATTCACCGTGCAAGAAGAACATATGTTTTGTGTGGATGTTTAGGACTGTATGTATTAACGAAAATTCACTTAATTCAAATTTTAATTATTTAATTTGTATGTTATCTTGTTGGCAGTGGATATTGCCAATTATAGGCTCTATATCTAGTAATCATTGACTAGTATTATTGCCACCAGCATGACCAGTCCTCATTTTTTTCAATTCAATGCATACATGTACTTCTGTTTACATGTAGCCTAACGTCCATGATGATTTAGTCGCCAGGTCCCTTCTTTTGCTACATGCCGTAAAAACAGTGACAGAGTGAGACTTGACAATTAGGTGGTGGCATTAGGACCCGGCGACTACTATACTGTCACAGAAATGAGACATTATGTATTATGGAATGGCACTGAACCAGATCTATGAACTTTGGCACTTACACAAACATGTTGTAATTTTTACCACAAGTGACAAAACTTTATCTTTGTCCATGCTATTAGGCCTTTATACATGTAGTTATGACTTGGTTTTCACGAGATAAGATTCAGACTTCAGACTAAAACGTCTCCAAAGCCGTGTCTCAGGAAAGGAAAATGAAATCCTACAATTATATGTAACTCATTTAAAACAACAAAGGTTTGCCTGTTATTGTGACAATTAAGGAAAAAAAACAATTAAGAATGAGTGCAGCACTGGGACTAGATCTTGTGGCTCGGTTTTGTACAGCTGCATGAGGTCTTTTTTACCATGCCTGTACTGTATTTACCACTTTAGCTTCAAGTATGCCACAACCAATCTCTACGAGAAAAAACCTTGGATGTTGTGTTCAATACTGCCATGAGTATGTCTCAGCATGTTTTGGCAGTTGGTATAAAATGGTCACTGTCCATCTGTCATGTGTTCACAGCCTAATTGATTCAAATACTAGCCATCATGCTGTTCGAACTCTTGTTACATGTACATCCCAGCTTGACTATGAAAACTCACTTCTTTATTTTTGGGGAAAGACATAAAACAGGTCCAACGATTCCAAAATAAAGTAGCTAAACTACTGTTTATGACAAAAAAGTCAGACCATGTCACACCTTTTTCAACATCGCCACTTGCTTCCTATTAGTCAGCATATTGTTTTCCAATAATTGCCTATCACAGTAGCTTGAGCAACCATGCTCCTTTTTATTTCACTGAACTTATAACCCCATACCAGCCAAGTTG